CGCTACTTCAGGAAATAAAAGAGGACATGAGGAAATGGAAAGATATCCCCTGCTCATGGGTCGGGAGACTTAACATTGTCAAAATGGCAATACTACCGAAAGCATTGTATAAATTCAATGCAATCCCTATAAGGATACCCATGACATTCTTCAAAGAAATGGAGCAAACACTCTTGAAATTTATATGGAACAATAAGCCCCCACGAATAGCTAAAGCAATTCTTGGGAAAAAGAAAATGGGAGGAATCAACCTCCCGAACTTCAAACTGTACTACAAAGCAGTAATAATTAAAACAGCATGGTACTGGAACAAAGGCAGAACTGCAGACCAATGGAACAGGGTTGAATACACTGACATCTCTCCTCAATCATATGCTCATCTAATCTTTGATAAAGGTGCAAGTAATGTGAAGTGGAGTAAGGAAAGCCTCTTTAATAAATTGTGTTGGCATCACTGGATGGCTACATGCAAAAAAATAGGCTCAGAACTCTGCCTAACACCATGTACAAAAGTAAGATCAAAATGGATTAAAGACCTCAACATCAGACCAGAAACCATAAAGTACATTGAAGATAAAGTTGGCAAAACCCTCCATGACATTGAAGCTAATGGTATCTTCAAAGATGCCATGCCACTGGCCGAGCAAGTGAAAACAGAGATAGATAAATGGGACTATCTTAAACTAAGAAGCTTCTGCACCTCCAAAGAAACAGTGACCAAAATACAAAGACAGTCTACAGAATGGGAAAGGATATTCACCGAATACACATCTGACAAGGGGTTGATATCCAGGATATACAAAATACTGGTTAAACTCCACAAGAAGAAAACATCCAACCCCATCCAAAAATGGGGCAATGAAATGAACAGAAACTTTCTCAAAGAAGAAATCCGAATGGCAAAAAAGCACATGAGAAAATGCTCTACATCATTAATCATCAGGGAGATGCAGATCAAAACCACAATGAGATACCATCTCACACCTCAGAGACTGGCCCAAATTCAAAAGAACAAAAGCAACCGATGCTGGCGTGGATGTGGCGAGAAAGGGACACTCCTTCACTGTTGGTGGGAATGTCCACTGGTTCAGCCCTTCTGGAAAACAGTATGGACGATTCTCAAAAAATTAGAAATTGAGCTCCCATTTGACCCAGCAATACCACTCCTGGGAATATATCCCAGAGAGGCAAAAATGTATAGTCGAAGTGACATCTGCACTTGTTTGTTCATTGCAGCACTCTTTACAATAGCCAGAAACTGGAAGAAACCTGAATGCCCAAGAACAGATGACTGGTTAAAGAAACTTTGGTACATCTACACAATGGAGTACTATGTAGCTGTTAGAAAAGATGAAGTCATGAAATTTACATACAAGTGGTACAATATGGAAAGTATCATGCTAAGTGAAATGAGTCAGAAAGAGAGGGATAGACATAGAAAGATTGCATTCATCTGGGGGATATAAAGTAACAAAGTATGAGATTAATACCCAAGAATAGCTGAGATCAGCACCAGGAGGATTACTCCATAACTTAGAGGCCAGCCGGGTATCCTAGAGGAAAGGGCTGTTCAGATAGAGAAGGGAGCACCAAATAAAGGATGTTTGGAGGATCCTCCCAGGAGGGGAGATGCATGTCGAAAGTAGACTATGGACTGAACATGTTTGCCACTCAATGCCTCTTTTGCAGACCACAACACCCAAAAGGAGAGAGAGAACACAGGGGATTGCCCTGCCACAGAGACAGGGGGGATGGGGGGATGGGGGTGGGAGGGATATTATCCATGGTGGTGGAAAATGGGCACTGGTGGAGGGATGGGTATCTGATCATTGTATAATTGAAACCAAAGCACAAAAAATTGTAAATCTACAACTTTAAAAAAAAAATAAAATACAATAAAGGAACAAAAAAAAAATAAAATAAAATAAAGGGAAAAAAAAAGCCATTATGAACTTGCCATGAAAATACAATATTCTAACTGAAAGACAACTCGTTAATAAATTTGTTGCATTTATCCATTTATATATAGAATATATCCATTTATATGTATCCATTTATATTATATATATATGCAATCAAAAATCTCCTCAGCTACTAAGTGGAAAAAGAACCAGAACTACTTTTACTATTTTAAATAAACTATTAATAAGCATAAATGAATCATATATATAAAATGTAAAGATAGTATTTGCTATATCATGTGTTCTTAATAAGCTAATTAAATATTTATAAATATTATTATAAGTACATTTGAAAAATATTAATGAACTAATTATGTGGAACTAAATAAATATGGCTCTAGTACTTTTATGATAACCAAAAACAAGGTTTAGAACTGATTGAGTCATACTCTCCAAAGTGTCAAGGCCCAAATAATTTTATGAACTTTTTTATTTTCTTTCTTGTTTTGTTTTTGTTTTGTTGAGCCATATACAACGTTGCTCATGGCTTACTCCTGGGTCTGAGCTCAGGGATTACCCTTGGCAAGTCTTAATGGAGTGCTGGGAATGGGACTCGGGTCGACCGTATACAAGGCAAACACCCTACTATCTCTCCAGCCCCTGAACTTTTTCTTTCATGCTTCTAAAAACAGCAATCAACAAGCCATACAATTTAACTCATATATAAAGAAAACCCTTTTATCAATATCAGAAAATTGTTATACCAGAAAGAAAATGATGACTAGCCATGTTTATATGTCTAGATACTGATGCCCCATGTAAATGCTAACACACTTGTGATACTTAGATTACAATAAGTCCATGTTTGCTCTTCACCCTCATTTCTTGACTTCTAGCTCCTGGAGACCTCAGACTCTCCCCAGTGATGTCTTTCAGTGAGTTGGTGATAGGTGGGGATTCCCTTGGTTGAAGATTGGAGGTCAGGGAAAATGACATCCTAGAAATAATTGGTACTTTCAGGTCCCCCCTTCACCTTTGAGGAGGGGAGAAGAACTAGAGTTTGAGTTCATCAGTACTAGTCAATGAATCCACCAATCATGCCCAAGAAAAAAAATCTCCTAAAAGTCCTAGAACTGGAGTTCAGAGTGCTTCCTGGCTGCCAAATACATGGTGATGCTGGGGATGTTTACTCCAAGAAGACATGAAATCTAACCTTTCTATTCCCATTTCCGTACTACATATCTCTTCCTTTTGAGTCCCAAGGACTGTATTCTTATCATTAGTTATGAAATTAATACTTTTATTGTTTATGTGAGTTCTTAAACTCTTCTATAAGTGACTAAGGTTGAGGAAAAGATCATGAGACTTTGTAATTTGTCACTAAGTTAAACTGACTTAGGGCAACAGTGGGTACTCCTCACTGATACTGGCTGGAGCTAGTGGAGGGAAGAGAGAGCTCTATGGGTCTGAGCCTTAACCCAGGGATCTAATGCTATCACCAGATGGGTGGATGTTTCAGAATTGAGCTGAATTGTACCAAATGTAGGTATCTAGGAATTGCTTGGTGTAAGTCACCCGGACAATGGGTGATCACTGTCACTGTCCTCCAGTTGTTCATCGATTTGCTCTAGCGGGCCCAGTAACTTCTCCACTGTGACAACTATTACATGTTTGGCATATCGAATACATCACGGGGAGCTTGCTAGGCTTTGCTGTGTGGGCGAGATACTCTCGGCAGCTTGTCAGCCTTTCCAAGAGGGGCAGAGGAATCAAACTCGGGTCGACCATGTTGGCTACGTGCAAGGCAAACACCCTACCTGCTGTGCTATTGTTGCAGCCCAATGGGTGATCAGAAGTGTTAAAAAGTAGTATTGGACATAGAAGAAACAGAGCAGAGTAGTTTCCCTTTTCAGTGCCATGATCCCTATGATCTATAATCTTCTCAATTCATCTAATAGCAAGAACCTTTGTCAAGAAACACTGATGCCCACACAAGAAAGGAAAGAACCAAGTGTATGAAGAACTAAACTTAGATCAGTGCATATAAGTATCCCCTATAAAGTATGATACAATCTAGAAAAAACAAAATAATAATAATAGACCCATCCGATAATATTCTAAACCTTTAATCATGGTTCAGTATTAATATATCTAGTAATAAAAATATTTTTTCTTATTAATTCAATAGGACAAAAAAGGAAAAATATCACATGTAACATTTTAATAGGATTAGAAATAACTGTTACATTCAAATTAGATTTAAAGTTTTCAGAATTTAAAAGAATTTAAGAGTCTATGATAAAACGAAGAACAAATTGCCTTAAGTGACGTGCCAGACCCTATTGACTGGAGACAGCCCCAGGAGGCTCTGCTCTACCACCTGAGCCACATCCCCAGTGCCAGCCCATCCAGTTTTAAGAACTTTAAGATCAAAGTAACAATATATGGAGAAAAAAAGAAAAGTAACCCATACATCCTAATATTTACCATTTAGTTTTCATCTAAAGTAACAGACACATGTTGACTTTCTTACGTGATATTATAATGAAACATATTACAAAAGAAAAAAGTAACTATTTTGGAAATAATGTGAAAATAATATGGAAAAAGTCCCAAGTTCTCATAAAGCTGAGTGGTGCTGCAAAAGCTTTACTTTGAATAACTCTCCAGATGACACACTCACAGGACTGGTGGTCACAGCTCCATTCCTATACACTCAAAAAAAGGCAAACTGATAACAAGTGATCTATTTTCCTAGGATCCTGACTTTTCTTTCTTTGAGAAACAACTTGTTGTTACTGAACATCTTTCCCAAAGACATTCCAGACTTACCATGCTTATAGCATCATTGATGGCATCATTTTACATCTAACAGGAGATCATTTTTTTTAAAAAAAGTGAACTATTTTGCATAGTTCATCAACCATGAACTATGGTCTACCATGCCCAGAGATCATCTAAGGTATTTTAAAATATAATAATAAAATGTTTCATCATATACAGATATCTATCAATATATTTATAAGATAATCAATTAGGGAAATCATCAGCATTGATTGAGCAGTTAAATGTTCTGCAGATTACATGATCATTACTTACCTTATTGCTTCATTGGTCTCTGAAACAGCTCTCAAGTACTCCTTCAAATAAAAATAATTAAAACAGTACTTTCGGATCTTATAGCCTCGCCATTGTCTCTGAATCTGGTAAAGCAAATAAAAAGATAAAATGAGCCATTAAACCTTTTTGGTGAAAACAGGTATAGCTCCTCAAAACCAAACTAATGATAAATAACAACACATCAAATTAAATGTCAGGCTTTTCTAATGATGAAGTTAGAAACATAGGTTGCAGGCATATATTTCCACAAAAATATTGTAAAGATAAACTGTAATTATGTTATTATGCTTTAAAATATATGATCTTTTTAAAAAATGAAATTAACTATCAAAAGATTAGAAGCTGTTTTACCAGTTCTTACCATGTCTACTTCCTGACAAAATAGGTATTTTTTAACTTTTTATAGACAACTGATATGAAGATTTTATCTGGTCTCATTAGAATCGGTTATTTTGATATGGGTTTTTAAATCCAGTGCAACAAAATCTTTAATAAAAACTTTGTATTCAGTATGGAAACTTCTCAGAAAAAAAGTAAGAGTTGAGTTTACATGTGACAGAGAAATTTCACTTTTTGGCAGCTATCCCCCAAACTCAAAAAGGATATTTCAAAACGTATTTGGGCTCCTATTTTTATTACAGTGCTATTCACAATATTGAAGATCTGAAAACAGCCCAAGTACCCAAGAACTGATGAATAGATCAATAAACCATGGCATCTACTGTAAGTCAGTATCAAAATAAAATAATTTTAGAGATAAAAGTATTGTATTATATCTTCATCATAATATTACACATTTTTGTAAGGTAATTAGTACAGAGATTAGATGTTAGCTATTGTTCAAAAGACTGTCATTTTTGACTAATCGATGCTTTTTTAAAAATAAGTTGATTGTTGGATTTATAAAGAATAATAAGAAAAATGTTTTATCTGGACACTGAAAATTTATTTTTCTGTTTTAACATGTATCTGTTGCCTGCCATAGAAGCAGGAGGGGGGGAGAGGTGGGTGGAGAGTGCTGGGGGGGGGGGGGGGAAACTGGGGACACCGGTGCTGGGAAATGTACACTGGTGGAGGGATGGGTGTTGGAACACTGTATGACTGATATTCAATCATGAACAGATTTGTAAGGGTCTATCTCATAGTGATTCACCTAAAAAGTTGAAAAATAAATAAAATATGAATATTTAACAGGCAATTTCTAATCTGAAGTCTTAAATGTGATGATTTTGAGGGAGTTTTTCATTTAGCTTCCTGGTAAGAGAAAGACCGAAATAACTGAAGATACGCAAAACAGCTTGTAAAGACAGTTAAACCAGCAATATTACTTCTACAAAGTCTAAACAGAATAAAAAGCCAAGGTAATAGGCTGAAAAAAAAATTAAAACTAAACAGAATAGCAAGCCAAGGTAAAAAACACAGAGAACAAAGAGGCAAGATTATTTTTTTTCCTTAAATTTTTATTTGTGAAACACCATGAGGTACAGTTGTGGACTTACAAATTTTTGTGCTTGGGTTTCAGTTATACAATGATCAAATACCCATCCCTCCCCAGTCCCAGTATCCCTCCCACCCCCCTTCCCCCTATCCCACCCTACCACTATGGCAGGGCATTTCCTTTTGTTATCTCTCTCCTTTTGAGTGTTGTGGTTTGCAAAAGAGACACTGAGTGGCAATCTTGTTCGGACTATAGTCTACTCTCATCACGCATTTCCCATCCTGAGAGGAACCTCCCAATACCCTTTATTTGGTGCTCCCTTCTCTATCTGAGCTGCCTTTTTCCCTAGTGTGTGTGGCTGTCCTCAAAGCCATGGAGTAATGCTCCTGGTACTTATCTCGGCTATTCTTGGGTGTTAGTCTCCTGTTTTGTTACTTTATGTTCCCCAGATGAATGCAATATTTCTATGTCTGTCCCTTTCTTTCTGACTCATTTCATTTAGCATGATACTTTCCATGTAGTACCACTTGTATGTAAATTTCATGACTTCATCCTTTCTGACAACTACATAGTATTCCATTGTATAGATGTACCAAAGCTTCTTTAACCAGTCATCTGTTCTTGGGCACTCGGGTTTTTTCCAGATTCTAGCTATTGTAAACAGTGCTGCAATGAACAGACAACTGCAGATGTCGCTTCGACTATACTTTTGAGGCAAGATTATTTTTATACAATCTTATTTTGGGGATTAAAATTTGCAACCTCGCAACCTTTTATTGTCTAGTTTTTGTTCTTGGAGAACCAGCAGGCTACCGAGAGTATCCTGCCCACATAGCAGAGTCTGCAATCTCCCTGTGGCAGGTTCGATATGCCAAAACTCAGTAACAATGATGGGTCTCATTCCCCTGACCCCGAAAGAGCATCCAATGTGGTACTTTCTATAATTTCAGGGCTAAGATGAATGGAGACGTTACTGGTGCCTGCTCAAGGAAATCAATGAACAATGGGATCACAGTGATACAGTGAAATTTTTTAACAATTTTATTTTCTAAATTTATTAACTCAGTCTAGAAACTAAGTCCCTCTCATTTGACCAAAATCAAATTATGAGTTACAAATGTGAAGGAATTGATACAGAGCACATTGGTGAGAAAAGAGAATTACTAGCTGAAATAAGTAATACATATATATCACATACCTGAAAATAAAAGTGGAATTCTCTGTTTTATCTAATTGTCATTACAGCATCATTCTCTGATAGAGATTATTATGAGCTTCATTTGACAGAACAGAAAATTGATACTTAGGTTAAAAATCTGCCTAAAGTCACAGAGCAGACAGGATGGTTTCCAACATTCCAATAGATGTTTAGTGATTATAGAGTATTAAGTGTGTTAAAGAAGAGACCACTTGTAGAAAAGGAGCTGACATAAAATCTATCATGAGCCAAAAAAGGGATTTCAGAAGTCAGGGGGAAATTATTAGGCTATCCAAGAGCAACAAGGATTACCACAGGGCAAAAACAAAACAAAACAAAAAAAGCCCATTAAATTCGAAGTGAAGATTCAAGGTGACAGAAGTCATAAAAGATGCACACTACAAGTTCTGAGAAGGAGAGAAGATGATCATCAATGATTAGGTTCGCACCAGCAGTAAGTGTGCCCCTTCTGAGAACAGGATGTCAAGGGAAAAAAACTGAACTTAAAAAATCTGTGCCCCTAGGAAGGGGAGCTTCTTGTTACTTATTCAAAAAAGCATGAGCTCTTTCTTATTCCCAATCCTGCAGGTACTAGAAGGAGCATCAGCTTCACCAAGAGTCCACATCGTCTTGCTCTGAGGAACTTTCTAAGAGGCTAAGAACCACAGATGTCTGCTCCAAGGCAGGCTAACATTCCAAGACAAATACTCGCATTGGCCAAATACTTGCATTGATATTTAAAGAAATAACACTAAGTTATGTTAAGATAACAAATAAAAGATTCATTTATGAAAGCACAATCAATAGATCCTTAGAAGACTTCCTTGGAGGTGAGTGAGTGAAAGAACAGGAAGGAACCGGGTATTTGAGTGAAGGTGCCATTGCCCAGTGAAGGACCTGGAATTTATTGCTCTCCATGAATATGGAGGTAATACACAGCTGTAATTTTCATAATGACCTTGTGAGGAGAGCTTTCTCTCCTTGTTAAAAATGACGAACTGAGGTTAAGTGACTTGATCAAAGTCCTATACCAGTGAAAGAGGAATGGCAAAGAGTAAGGACACAAACCCTGCCGGCTCTGTTTTACTTCACAGCTCTTTGCACAAAATTATCTCAGAGGTAAATTGGATAAGGCAAAAGAAGATGTGTGTTTGTCCTTTAACTTAAAAAGAATTTAAAATAATTTACATTACAAAAGAATAATATTTTTAGTTTAACCAATTAACTAATTGGTGTATTAAGATACATGACACATCTGAGATACAATTACAATTCTCGTTATAGGATCAAATTTTATCTTGAGTTTTGATGAAATTTTCTGTTGATATCTCACTATCACGTGACTAAACTTTTCTTTTTTGTTGCTTTCAAACTTATTTTAAAGATTCCAAGTGACTTTCAATAACATTCTTCTCAATCTCAAGGAGGCTGGGTAATAATTTCCAAATATTCCTGTCCTTCAAAGTAATAAGCAACTTTCAGAACTGATTGGTATAAAACTTATTGTCATTGATCAGCTCTGAAAAGATAATTTTAAACAAAGTCATTGTGTGCTCAGCAGATCACAGCTTGTTAACAGGCAAATTCTCAATGACCTCTTAAGCTAGTCAAATCAATGATGCATATTCCTCATTAAGTAATATCAAAATGTAAGTGGTCTTATAAATAATGTTGATTTTAAGCACTAAAACAAATGGCAAAGTCTTCATATATGAAAAGCCATCTGCTCATAAAAAAAAGATTTTCCATCCAGATATGCTTTACTTCTATTCCTCAAATCACAGTAACCTTAAACACCATCAAAAATGGGAGGGGGGGAATAATGTATTCTCACTTAAAATTAAAATGATAGTAAAAACAAAGTCATTAATAGTGAACTACTAATATTAGCACTACAAATGTATATAAGAACATAACAACTGAACTCAGTTATTCAAAATTATGCCTTTATTTATTAGGATGTTCAACATTTCAGAAGACTATTCAGTGAACACAGTAAAGTGAGATTAGTAAGTTTTTAAAGACGGTGTTAAAAAATTAGCAATGTCCAACTTTCATTCTAGGTGACATTGTGCTGCCATGTCAAGTACATATGTATTACATACATACATTTACATATGCAGTGTGTGCTTGTTTGTGTGTAAATAAGTAGATATCATAACTAGATATTTTTAGCTAGTAGAAGATGGATAATTATTCCACATGCAATGCTTTCTTGTTACTGTTTTTCCACTGTATTTGACTTCAGAGTTCCTTTCTCTATATAGTCAATTAATCATGTCTCAGTGATACAGGTACCAGACAAAACAGGAGGGGAGAAGAAATATTCTTGTGCAAGGAGATGAAGTCTGGGTGGCCCTGTTCCCCCTTGTTTTGCAGCTGGTGTTCAGGGACTCTGCTCCATAAACAAGACTGTGTCCTCCTCATTTTATATCCTAGGACCTAAC